GAGAATTTCGTAGAGAACTTCGTAGAGAACTTCGTAGAGAACTTCGTAGAGAACTTCGTAGAGAACTTCGTAGAGAACTTCGTAGAGAACTTCGTAGAGAACTTCGTAGAGAACTTCGTAGATAATTTCGTATAGAACTTCGTAGAGAAAGTCGAAGAGAACTTCGTAGAAAACTTCGTGGAGAACTTCGTAGAGAACTTTGTAGAGAACTTTGTAGAGAACTTTGTAGAGAACTTTGTAGAGAATTTCGTGAAGAACTTTGTACAGAAATTCATAGAGAAATTTGTAGAGAACTTCGTAGAAAACTTTGTAGAGAACTTCGTGAAGAATTTCGTAGAGAATTTCGTAGAGAACTTTGTTGAAAATTCTGTAGAGAACTGCGTAGAGAACTTCGTAGAGAATTTCGTAGAGAACTTCATAGATAATTTTGTAGAGAACTTCATAGAGAACTTCGTAGAAAATTTCGTACAGAATTTCGTAGATAATTTCGGAGAGAACTTCGTAGATAATTTCATAGAGATTTTCGTAGAGAGAACTTCGAAGATAATTTCGTAGATAATTTCTTAGAGAACTTTGTAGAGAATTTTGTAGAGAACTTCGTAGAGAATTTCGTAGAGAATTTTGTAAAGAATTTCGTAGAGACCTTCGCAGAAAACTTCATAGAGAACTTCGTAGAGAGTTTCGTAGAGAACATCGTAGATAATTTTTTAAAGAATTTCGTAGATAATTTCGTAGATAATTTCGTTGATAACTTCGTAGAGAACTTCATAGATAATTTCGTAGAGAATTTCGTAGATAATTTGGTAGAGAATTTCGTAGATAATCTCGTAGAGAACTTCGTAGAGAACTTTGTAGAGAACTTCTCAGAGAACTTCGTAGAGAATTTCGTCGAGAACTTCGCAAAGAATTTCGTAGAGAACTTCGTAGGGAACTTCATACAAAACTTCGTAGATAATTTCGTAGCGAATTTCGTAGAGAACTTCGTATAGAACTTCGTAGAGAATTTCGTAGAGAATTTCGTAAAGAATTTTGTAGAGAACTTCGTAGAGAACTTCGCAGAGAACTTCGTAGAGAACTTCGTAGATAATTTCGTAGAGAATTTCGTATAGAACTTCATAGAGAATTTCGTAGAAAATTTCGCAGAGAACTTCGTATAGAACTTCGTAGAGAATTTTGTAGAAAACATTGGTGAGAACTACGTAGAGAACTTCGTAGAGGATTTTATAGAGAACTTCGTAGATAACTCCGTAGGGAAATTCGTAGAGAACTTCGTATAGAACTTCGTAGCAAATTTCGTAGAGAACTTTGTAGAAAATTTTGTAGAGAACTTCGTAGAGATCTTCATAGAGAAATTCGTAGAGAATTTTGTTGAAAACTTTGTTGAGAACTTCGCAGAGAACTTCGTAGAGAACTTTGTAGAGAATTTCGTAGAGAACTTCGTAGATAACTTCGTAGATATCTTCGTAGAGAAATTCGTAGAGAATTTCGTAGAGAACTTCGTTAAAAACTTTGTTAAGAAGTTCGTTGAGAATTTTGTAGAGAACTTCGTCGAGAACTTCGTAGAGAACTTCTTAGAGAACTTCGTAGAGAACTTCGTAGATAATTTCGTAGAGAATTTCGTATAGAATTTCGTATAGAATTCTTCGTAGAGAACTTTGTAGAGAACTTCGTAGATAATTTTATAGAGAACTTCGTAGATAATTTTGTAGAGAACTTCGTAGAGAACTTTGTAGAGAACTTCGTAGAGAACTTCGTAGAGAACTTCGTAGAGAACTTCTTAGAGAACTTCGTAGAGAACTTCGTAGAGAACTTTGTAGAGAACTTTGTAGAGAACTTCGTAGAGAACTTCGTAGAGAACTTCGTAGAGAACTTCGTAGAGAACTTCGTAGAGAACTTCGTAGAGAACTTCCGAAAACTTCGTAGATAATTTCGCAGAGAACTTCGTTTCGTAGAGAACTTCGTTTCATAGAGAACTTTGTAGAGAACTTCGTAGAGAAATTCGTAGAGAACTTCGTTGACAATTTCGTAGAGAACTTCGTTGACAATTTCCTAGAGAACTTCGTAGATAACTTCGTAGAGAACTTCGTAGAGGATTTCGTAGAGAACTTCGTTGAAAACTTCGTGGAGAATTTCGCAGAGAACTTCCACGAGAACTTTGTAGAGAACTTTGTAGAGAACTTTGTAGAGAATTTCGTAGAGAACTTCGTAGAGAGCTTCGTAGAGAACTTCGTAGAGAATTGCGTAAGAACTTCATAGAGAAATCCGTAGAGAATTTCGTCAAGAACTTCGTATAAAACTTTGTAGAGACCTTCGTGGATAATTTCGCAGAGAACTTCGTAGAGAAATTCGTAGAGAACTGCGTAGAGAACTTCGTAGAAAACTTTGTAGAGAACTTGGTAGATAATTTCGTAGAGAACTTCATGGAGAACTTTGTAGATAATTTCGTAGAGAACTTTGTAGAGAATGACTTAGAGAACTTCGTAGAGAACTACACAGAGAATTTCGCAGAGAACTTCGTAGAGAATTTTGTAGAGAACTTCGTAGAAAACTTTGATGAGAACTTCGTAGATAACTTCATAGAGAATTTCGTAGAGAAGTTCGTTGAAAACTTTGTAGAGAACTTCGTAGAGAACTTCGTTGAAAACTTCGTGGAGAATTTTGCAGAGAACTTCCACGAGAACTTTGTAGAGAATTTCGTAGAGAACTTCGTAGAGTATTGCGTAGAGAACTTCATAGAGAAATTCGTAGAGAATTTCGTCGAGAACTTCGTAGAAAACTTTGTAGAGACCTTCGTGGATAATTTCGTAGAGAACTTCGTAGAGAAATTCGTAGAGAGCTGCCTAGAGAACTTCGTAGAAAACTTTGTAGAGAACTTCGTAGAGAACTGCGTAGAGAACTTCGTAAAGAATTTCGTAGAGAACTTCATAGAGATTTCGGTAGATAATTTCGTAGAAAACTTCGGAGAGAACTTTGTAGATAATTTCGTAGAGAATTTTGTAGAGAACTTCGTGTAGAACTTCGTAGAGAACTTCGTAGAGAATTTTGTAGAGAACTTCGTAGGGAACTTCGTAGAGCATCGTAGAGAGCATCGTAGAGAACTTCGTAGAGAATTTCGTAGAGAACTTAATAGAGAAATTTGTAGAGAGTTTCGTTGAGAACTTCGTAGAGAATTTCGTAGAGAACTTCGTAGATAACTTCGTAGATAACTTCGTAGATAACTTCGTAGAGAATTTCGTAGAGAACTTCGTAGAGAACTTCATACAAAAATTTGCAGAGAACTTCGTAGAGAACTTCGTAGAGAACTTCGTAGAGAACTTCGTAGAGAACTTCGTAGAGAACTTCGTAGAGAGCTTCGTAGATAATTTCGTAGAGGACTTCATAGAGAATTTTGTAGAAAACTTCATAGAGAATTTCGTAGAGAACTTCGTATAGAATTTCGTAAAGAACTTCGTAGAGAAGTTCGTAGAGAACTTCGTAGAGAACTTCGTAGAGAACTTCGTAGAGAACTTCGTAGAGAACTTCGTAGAGAACTTCGTAGATAACTTCGTAGAGAACTTCGTAGAGAACTTCGTAGAGAACTTCGTAGAGAACTTCGTAGAGAACTTCGTAGAAAACTTCGTAGATAATTTCGTATAGAACTTCGTAGAGAAATTCGTAGAGAACTTCGTAAAGAATTTCGTGGAGAACTTAGCTGATAACTTCGTAGAGAACTTCGTAGAGAATTTCGTAGAGAACTTCGCAGAAAACTTTGTAGAGAACTTCGCAGAGAGTTTCGCAGAGAACTTCGTAGAGAATTTAGTAGAGAACTTCGTAGAGAACTTCATTTCGTAGAGAACTTTGTAGAGAGCTTCGTAGAGAACTTCGTAGAGAACTTCGTAGATAATTTCGTAGAGAACTTTGTAGAGAACTTCATTGAGAACTTCATTTTAGAGTTCGGTAGAAGTTGAGAAAAATTATATATAACCCAAGCGAATTTTGTAGATGTTCCGGGAACAATGAAGAAGTCGTAGGGTATTCTCTAAGATATTCTCTCTAGACGGCAGCTTGTTCTGGAAGTTCATCTCCAGGCAGATGAAGATTTCACTTTGGTCCTCTGGATTTTTTTTTCGAAACATCAGGTTGATCAAATATTATTCTAAAGTCTATAAAATAAGTCTCTCAGATATTCTCCCAACACAGCTGCTTAATAAAGAAGTGTTCAGAAGATATCCAGTTAATCAGTTAAGTCCAGTGAACATTTTTTAAGAAACTATTCAACCCTTCGTCTGTGCAAAAAAAAAACTTCCGTTGTATGTACCCTGGGGACAATTTGACCCTAAATTCACATTGTCATATGTTAACGAAATTTCAAATGAATTTCTGAAATTTCAAATGTATGGCAAAGTAAATTCGGTGGACTTTCAGTTGACACTATCAGACTGTTTTTGAAGGGGCGGATCTCCCATGAAGTGGCTTATTTGGATGTTAGAGATGTTTATATCACGATATTCCAACCAAACAGGATGTTGTTTTCTTCTGCAGAGACAGGAATACAAGATTTTCAAAAATATGGATATTGACAGAATTAACTCACCAGATGGCGCTAAATCTAAAATAATCAAGATGTACCAGCTTAAAGACACATTATATAACACTATCTATCTACAGATCCAGCTACGATGGATGGTTCCTGTCTTGAGCAAAGTTGTTCAGATTAAGGAAAAGAGTTTAGTTCGTAATTCCCTCACCAGGCGTCGCTAGTGTGACATTCATTTGTAATTGTTTGCCCTAACTTAACATCTTGACTAGATAGAAGATTCCCGTCTTCAGCAAAGTTGTTCAAATGAACAAGATCTATTTTATGATAAATAGGTCAGCTCAGAACTAACTCACCATGCGGCGCTAGTGTGACATTAATTTTGAATTGCTTGCCGTAACTTATCATGTGGACACATCTTCAAATCTGGCATTCCTGTTCATAGCTCTAGTCCAACGGTTTAATTTATAACAACAGTACTTACGCAGACAGGCAATCACTATGATTCCGATCAGCAGGATGACGATGATGACGATCAGCGCGATAAAAATACATTTGTGATAGTAGCGTCGGCGGAATCTGAAAAAAAGAGCAACACTCTGAACTGAAGAAACAATAGTCCAAAAGGGAAAACGTTATGGTCCACCTACCTTGACTGCACCCCCACCAGGTAGGGGTTGTCGGAAGGCGAGTTCCCATCGCTATGATTGCCATTGGTGTTGTTGTTTTTGCTGGGCAAATAACCTGCAACGGTATAGATGAGAATAACACACAGTCAAAATCACCAATTACAAATCGAATCAAACACCAATCTGGTTTTATTGATTTCCAGTAGGCCATGAAAGCGTTCAAGCCCCTTTTTCACGCAGCCTACTGCCTTAGGCCGGCTTTCAACTTCAGTACGGGAGTATTTAATTTACTTCAATTAGTCGGATTTGGTGCAAATGGCGAACACAGTCCAACTTTCGTCGGAGCGAACGGGGAAAGATTTCCATCGCAAATAACAAAGCTCCCGAGGCATGTTTGTTCGGTATTGCTTATGCATCCCGTCCGGCCGACAACGAAAGCGACGTCTCTGTGAGTGGCAGCTTCTGACAAGGCAGCCAGTAAATCATTATTCGTATCACTGCCACGCGATTCAACGCTGAATAAATAATCATCATCATCATCACACGTGCAGCAACGACGAAATTTATGCGTTTTGTCCTCGAAATGGCCCATAACACAAGTTGTATGCTACTACATTATTGTCACACACCCCTAGAAAGGGCATCGGATGTGTATGCATAACAAACATTTTACATCCTTACAAATTTGGACCTTATCAGTTCGCCGTACATGACCGGGCTGAAAATGGAACCGACAACCGGAGTACATTTCCATAATTCTCCAACCGCCTCGCAGTCGATCTGTACATTATTTATAGGTCTATCCTACGCCGTATGCGATGTACTTACTCGACTCGCACATTTATAACGACCGTATCTAGTAGGCCATTTTCAGCGGAAAATGTGCTTCAATATACGACCGGTGGCTGAGGGGTATGTCACTAGCAACCGGATTATTGATGATAAATCAAAACAACCGGACGAATCACCCCTCGTTTCAAATCGATATGATTGATTGGGTCAACATCGGGCAGCGGCCAGCGGCGGCATGTATTTATGCCAATTGATCCTAATCGGCTTGTGTGTGGTACATTGACCTATGCGTCAAAGTTGACCATTTTCGTTTGATGAGACGCTGCCCTGACAAATAGATTAATCAACCTTTGGTCAATGACCGCCCGCAAATTCGGCCTGTCACAAATGTCCCGGATTCGTTTTGTACGATTGGAGGTTTTCCTCACTCTCTCATCTAATATACTGGTATAGGAGAAAGAGGGGTGAGGGGGGGGGGGGTGCTGACGGTTCGGATCCCGCCAATATTGCGCGGTTTGTTAATTGAATTTCCTTACTGCCTTTTTCGCTTTTGTCTACTTTTTCACTGTTCCATGGGATGGATGGATTATTATTTTGACGAAATGAACTCGATTTTCTGGGAAGGACTGTGGTCTGCTTATTGTTGCGAAATTGCTCTCACATAAGTTTGTTGGTGAAGACACTGATCTTGTAGCTTGAACAGTTTTCCTCCAAATCTGGGAACGACTCTTGCTTGCTCTTTGAAGCACTTCCACAGGTAGGTTCATTGTGCTTAGGCAGGCCCGCATATTGGAACGAATGTTCATTGAAATTTGCACCGCTTGTTTGAGTGCACTTTTAGCTCTCAGGAGCTAAATCGAAGGAATAAAATACAAACAGTAGGCACTGCCGACGCCGAGGGAGAGGAAATAATTTTGATGGAAATTTGACTCGTTAGAATCGTTAGCAATTCATCTCAAACGGTTAGGGGTTTTAATCTTATTTACGTCCTACTAAGCACAACCCGTGCTCCACCACTCTTTTTCGAACGGATATGAACAAAACAAATGGAATGAGTCTACTACAGATGACTTTTACATTTATTTACCTTTCCATACGTACCGTTGGATTTGATGAAGAGTCAAACATTGTTGAGATTTTGTTAAAAATTGACACTGCTTCTTGGTTCCAAATTCATGTTGCGTGTTTCAAGTTCCGTCAAAACGCATTGAAACACCTGCGGATTTTCTTCGTGATCCGAAGGAAGGCAGGAAAAAGTGATTCGCTAGGAGTGCTTCTTGTGTTTTTGAGAACAATGGGTGCATATATTCGAGGAAAGTTAATCAGTGTTGTTTTTTGACGTTGGACTACGTCTTTGTGGACTATAATGGGGTGCAAATAAAAAAAAAAAGTGTAACGAAATAGTGTTAAGTTTTAAATGCTTAAAACTTGTCCTTTAATGGATGGATTTAAATTATTTCCACACCATTTGATTCAGAATTGATGTAAGATTTGTTTGACATAAAAATTATAGTAATTTATCATTAGTAAACTATTAAAAAAAAGTCCAAACTTTTCTCGAATTTCTATCATATTTGAGCAGATTTTTGAGGAAAATTTGACTCACTCAGTGAGTAACCCAAGGGGTAAGTCACTCAGCACAGTGTGCCGAAAGTAGATTCGGCACAGCTCGGGCACATCCATCGGTAGTTGATCACGTGCTGTTTGACTGTGTATTTCAGAAACATAATTGAATATACTAAAGGAACTCAGATCAGCAATTCCCTTCTCGGTTCACATTTAAATTTGAAATGTAGGCTTCCGAGGGCTGTTGATTGCTATCGATGCCGGTTGCAAGTCTTTCAGCTGCTACGCAAATGGAGTGTACTACGAACCGGAATGCAAGAACAATTTGGATGGATTGGATCATGCAATGGTGGCGGTAGGATAGGGAAAACTCAAAGGAGAAGATTACTGGCTAATCAAGAATATGCTTTGATGGCGGTGAAGGGTAACAACTGTGGCCTTACCACCGATGCGACGTACATATGTAAGTTTGAAGTGAGATTTCTGTTTAAATTAGAATTGAGTAAAAGCCTAGTTTTTTTTCGGATATGTGTCATCTTATGCGAGGTGGAATAAATGGTTTTCGATTTTTGAACATAAAATAAAAATTGTTAGTTAATTAGGTTGAGTGGAAGCAATAAAAATTCCATGTAATTGAGCCGTGAAAAGTAGTTCGGTATTGTTCAAGTGAGTTTGGTTTGGTAGATGATGACCAACTGACCGAGTGCTGGTGATTTGCTGCTGAAAGGTATACTATAGGGTCCTTACAAGGCCACAATTTTTAAGCTTCTACTCAACCTAATTAACTTACACATTTTAAACCGAATTTCACTGGTTGAGGTACATACTACGATCGAATTATCCCTGAACTCCAACCCGATGGCAAAACCGAACGTCTTAGCTTGGGATCCTCCATCTTGACATAATCAATTCCGACGTCGAAAACCTCCGAGAGCTTCTTGCCCGGAATCACCATCTTCAGCAGTTCCTCTTCCAGATTGAGCAGAAAGGTGTAGTGCTGCTGAATCGTTTCCGTTGGATTGACTGTTCGGACGACATTGGAGCAGTAGGGCTTGTAACGCGCACCTACAGCACAGATGATCGATCCGCAGTGCAGATAGTTCTTGTCGCTGAATGCTCTGAACTTCAAGCTGTAATTGCCACCCGACTGGATAATGTCCTTGACGAAGGCTCACCACGATTCACAGAACTCATCCGGGAAGTTGTCCTTGAAGAAGACGTTCAAAGTTTTGCCATCCTTGGATCCCTTAATCGCCTTCAGCAGCTTTTCAAAATTGGCCTTGTCTTTGTCGTTCTTATCACGAACCAACAGCTTCACCGATGGAATGCCTTCTTCACCGTCCTTCTCGATCTGCTTCAAGAAGTCGATCTTTTTGCTGGTCAGGAAAAAGATGGACTTTTCGCACAGCAGCCAGGTCTGCAGCGAGGTGGATTTGCTGTAGATGGTTTCCTCGTCTACGCCGCCCGCCGTCAGAATGCAATCCACCTTTTGCAGCGAATCATCTTGTTCCTTCCAGTTGGCGTAAAGGCGTTTTATTCGTCGGTAGAAGGAATCCTTATCGAGCACGATATTCGGCATTTTTGGGGCCGTTTAATTATCGCATCCAATGGTTTTTTCTTTGTTGTGTCCTGTTGGACGACTGAGATTGCTAACGGTCCATCTCGCCAGCATTCCTCCGTGGTTGTCGATGGATCGCTATTAAGGTGTATTCAGATCTGAGTGTGTATTAGTGGAGCGGAGCAAATTTTGATTTGGAATGAGAGAGACAACTATTACTTCTCTCCCTCTCGTACCTGCGCAAAATCTTGGCCCGCGCGTGAAATATCGCTCAGGACGGAATTCACCTTTATCCTTGCGATTGCAAACCCAAACATTCATGCTCTCAGAAATACCAGGTTGCCAAATATACCATAATATTCGAATTTTACAAAAAAAATCACAGCTTGCTCTATGACCGGCGGCACATTTGTGGCACATTGAGAAAAATGTTGACCCAAGATTGGTGTGCGGAGTGACACACACACACACACACACACACACACTCATACACACACACACACACACACACACACACACACACACACACACACACTCACACACACACACACTCACACACACACACACACACACACACACACACACACACACACACACACACACACACACACACACACACACACACACACACACACACACACACACTCACACACACACATACACACACACACACACACACACACACACACACACACACACACACACACACACACACACACACACACACACACACACACACACACACACACACACACGGAATCGAGTATTAGTACAAGACACTGAAGAAGTCTGCACATTGTAGACGAAATACGCGTATCTGTCAAGGATAAGCAAATAAAGTAGTGGAATCAAGATAATTTTACACCCAACCGGTGGATGTAAGATTCGCTTACAATTATGTGGGATTCATCATCAGAGGATGTAAGTGGAGACCGCATGAACCGAGGATGCGATATACCTAGCTGCGGTCCGATGTAAGAAAATTGGAGACCGAAAAATGTGGAGTTGTATTAGTGAGTGAAAATAATTATGTCGAAAAAAATAGAAAATAGGTTGCCGACTGGACTCGAACCACGGACGTTGCGACCAACAGACCTGTGCTTTTTCCACTGCTTTCTCCATGCTTCTGAATATGGTCAGCCTAAAAGCAAACATGAAGCGCTCATTTTCTCGCATGCTCGACTTCGTATGCTTTTTCTGCTGGAGAGATTCGAGTTAAGTGTGTGCGTCGTTCTACAATGTTCTACAATGTGCGTCGTTCTACAAGCTTACTGGTACCTATAGTCGAAAGCGTAGATGCAACACGAAATAAAAATGCTCGACTTCGTATGCTTTTTCTGCTGGAGAGATTCGAGACAAGTGTGTGCGTCGTTCTACAATGTTCTACAATGTGCGTCGTTCTACAAGCTTACTGGTATCGTCGAAAGCGTAGATTGAACCAGAAATAAAAATGCTCGACTTCGTATGCTTTTTCTGCTGGAGAGATTCGAGACAAGTGTGTGCGTCGTTCTACAATGTTCTACAATGTACGTCGTTCTACAAGCTCACTGGTATAGTCGAAAGCGTAGATGGAACACGAAATAAAAAAAGACAAAAAACCATTACATCGCCTGCATGGTCAATTTCTAGCATTCGTTGCGATGTTCATGAACAGAGGATGATAGGAAACGGAACTAACATTCATTGTAATAGATTTTTGGTTTGCGTGTAGAGAAGTACAGAGAACACCCATAAAATTGTGGGAACGTTTAACAAGTTTCAAGAACCTCATTGATGATAGGTCTCTACTCAGGGAACCTCAGAGATTTTAAAAACAGTCTCAGTAACTTCAGGGAAATTCAGGCTTTAGGGGAAATTTAAAGGTCTGTAAAGGTTAGTTCTATAAATTTAAGACAGCACGATGAGCTTCAGAAACATTTTGAAGAAATTTTAGAAGTTCCGAGTATTACAATAAGGCTCAGATATTTCTAGAAAAGTTAATAGGGTAAACGCACATATGAGGGTACGCTACTCTCCACAAGCCACTATAGAAACACATTGCTCAAGCTTATTGCTTATCGCATATTAGCTTGTCGCGTGCTCTCGACTTAGTGTTCTAGATGCACTTTCACAGTTATTGATTGAGAGCTGTCTATGCCTGTATCATGTTTGCATTAAAGGGTGATACGGTCAAAATTTGGTCAAGGGAAAACGCGTGTAAATCGGTGAAATCGTTTATTTAAAAAATCAAATTAAATTTCTTTTTCAAGTTCAATTAGTATAAAATTCAGGAAAAATATTCAGTTAGGCTTCCGCTTTTCCAAATCCGAATTGCCGGGCCTTACGCTTGACCCCTGCCATCAGATTTTGTACAGCCACCTTGTCCACCTTCTTCGCCGCAGAAAGCCAGTTTGCCTTGAACTGCTGCTCGCCCTTAGCAGTTTTTTTGGTCTTCTTTAGGTTCCGCTTGACAATAGCCCAGTATTTCTCAATTGGGCGGAGCTCTGGCGTGTTGGGAGGGTTCTTGTCCTTGGGAACCACCTGCACGTTGTTGGCGGCGTACCACTCCATGGCCTTTTTACCGTAATGGCAAGATGCCAAATCCGGCCAAAACAGTACGGAACAACCGTGTTTCTTCAGGAAAGGCAGCAGACGTTTATTCAAACACTCTTTCACGTAAATTTCTTGGTTGACAGTCCCGGAAGCTATGAAAATGCTGCTTTTCAAGCCACAGGTACAGATGGCTTGCCAAACCAGATATTTCTTTGCGAACTTTGACAGTTTCATGTGCTTGAAAACATCTGCTACCTTTCCCCTTCCTTTTGCCGTATAAAACTCCTGTCCCGGAAGCTGCTTGTAGTCGGCTTTGACGTAGGTTTCGTCGTCCATTACCACGCAGTCAAACTTCGTCAGCATCGTCGTGTACAGCCTCCGGGATCGCGCTTTGGCCGTCGTATTTTGTTTATCATCGCGATTTGGAGTCACTACCTTCTTGTAAGTCGATAGTCCGGCTCGTTTTTTGGCTCGATGCACGGTTGAAGACGATACACCCAGCTTATTTGCGGCATCTCGGAGAGAGAGGTTAGGGTTTCGCTTGAAACTACCGGCAACTCTCTTTGTCGTCTCAGCGGCTTCCGGTTTTCGATTTCCCCCCAATCCAGACTTCCTGGCTGTCGACAAACGTTCCCCAAACACTTTAATTACATTTGTAACGATTGATTTGGCAACTTTTAGCGATTTTGCCAACTTTGCGTGCGAGTAGCTCGGATTTTCGCGATGCGCGAGCAAAATTTTGATACGCTGCTCTTCTTGCTTGGACGGCATTTTGACAACTGAAGAGTGAATTCCAAAATCAAAATAGGAGCAACATTCTACACACACAGACCTTCAAAATGAGGGGTGTTCAGGTTTTTTAAATGCAAAATTGAAAGAAATACGTCAAGTTGATATTGACCAAATTTTGACCGTATAACCCTTTAGTCTTATTTGTGTGGCAAGTACGATCATACTCTATGCCCAGGGAAGTCGAGACATTTTCCATCCCGAAAAATTCCTAGACGGGATCGGGAATCGAACCCAGCCACCTCCAGCATGGTTTTGCTTTGTAGCTACGCCTTTACTAAAGGAGGCTCCACATTGTTTTAACGTACCTCCACTATAGGTGTGCTTACCCTAAATCTTCAAAAATATATTGGAACGTTACAGAAGTCCAGAGATTTTCTGGGTAGTTTAAAGATATTTATGACAGTTCCATTTACTTCAGGGCGGTACCAAAATCTTCAGGAGAAATGCGAGTACTTCAGGACATCTTCGAGAACATCAGGGAAGATCAGAGTGCCTCAGAGGAATTCACTTTATTTCAAAGAAATTTCAGGAGCTTTACAGAAGCTCCGGGAATCTCTAGGAATATGATGTGCTGGGAAGTCCAGGCAGTTTTACTATTGTTAGTGATGTTTCGAGTATTTCTAGGAAGATCAAAAAACTTCTAAGCAGTTCGGTTAACTAATTGCAAATTGTTCCAAACATTTCTGATAAATTAAGTTCTAAAGGGTGTATTTGTGGAAAATGGTACACACATAACCAGCTGTATCTTATGTGTGTGCCATTTTAATTTCGTTAGAATTTTTTTGAAACGCAAGAGAAGTTCCAATAATTGTTTGAAAATGTAGTGAACTTCACGACGGAATTTGTATTTGTTTATTAATAATTCAACTGACAGTTAGTGTCTAAATGAATAAAACTAAAACTAATTAGTTACGGTCAACGTTACGAAATAGGCCAAGACGCCGATGACGAAACACTCCAGCGGACACATTGAAGTCGAGCACACCCAAGACCTGCATCGGACCCTTCTATCTCTGGGTATCAAACAGGGGGTCTTCGACTGGCTCTCTCGGGTCGCTGCTGCCTCTTCGTCACGTCTGCTAGTGAATGGGCGCCTTTCACGACCGTTCCGCGTAGATCGATCTGTACGGCAGGGATACCCAATGTCGATGCTGCTTTTCGTACTTTATCTTCATCCCCTGCTCACATTGGTGGAGCGTGTGTGTGGTGGTGACCTTTGCGTTGTAAACGCTAACGACATCACGTTGATTGCAACCTCAACACAAATTATCGACCGTATTTATCAGCTGTTGCACTGAAAATAAAATTTCGTTTATACAACGAAATCGCTCGTTTGTTCTACGAATTTATTCGTTGTTTTCTGCAACGAAATGGATTTGTACATTGTATGAAGCTAGTTTCGTTAGAACTGCCACACTCGCTATCGCTACACCCAACCAGCGGGCCACAAGTGTTGGTTGTGGAAACCGAAAAATGTGGAGTGTGTTAGTGAGGATGGGTAAAAATAACTTCATCATTGGAAGGAATAAACATGACAAAAAAAAATAAAAACAGGCCTGAAGCCTGACTCGACTTATGAACCTTGCGATCGTCAGATCAATGCTTTATCCATCGCTCTATCTGTGCTACGTGAAATGGTAAAGCTAAAGGCAAACAAGAAGCACTCATAGAACGGTAATTCGATTTCGCTTGCTTTT